TGGTGAGTCTGGCTCTGTCAGTTGCCTGGAGGCAACCCACTCTGCTAGCAAGCCGTCTGCCCGAAGGTGCTTACCTTCCTTGCTCTGTGGGCCAGGAAGCCCACCCTACTGTCTCTGGCCAGTGTCCTGGTTCTGCTGCCACCATTTCTCTGCTGTCGCTTCTCACCTTCTCTCGCCATCTCCGGTGTTAAAGCTCTCTCTCTGTCTCCTGGGTCTAGGAGGTTCTCAGTACTGGGATCCTGGGTCTAAAAGACGTGCCCCTCTCCTGGCTCTTTCTTACTGACACTCAGGTCCCTTCTCTGCTTACTTCTCTCTCCTTTTGTCTCTTGTAAGATAAAAGGTGTGAGAGTAAATGTGGTAGTTTGAGTGCTCCCCACCCTGACCTTGCCTCATTAACATAACACACAACCTAATCCTACTAACTAACCTGATCCTGCCTCATTAGCCCAGAAAGATCAGGATTCACACACACAATGGAGGATAATTGCACCAGATCATAAAATGGAGGACAGCCACATAATACTGGAATCAACTTGACACATAACCCCAGCCACCACAGGTTCCACACACCTTACTTGCATGGTCCCACCCAGTCATTGTGTGGGAGTCACAAAGATTGGTTAGAAGGCCCTTATGAAGTAATTCACTACACTACTTTTGGAAACCCTATGGGAGGGAGAACCAGAAATATCTGGCAAACAGGATAACCAGAGCATAAGATTTTTCCAGTAAAAGCATGGGTTATGAAAGTTGAGAAATATTTCCTTTTATATTGCGGCATAGAAGTTAGAAGTTGGTTTACCTTTAGATAAGGAACTACTGAAAATGACTTGGGAGAAATAGAGTTAGAATTTGATTAGTTAGTAGGAGAATGTATTTTTAAAATTATGAAATAACACAAAGTAGGAAAGATTGCAAGATTATGTTGGGGGAGTAAGAGGAGTGTAGGTAATACAAAATAGTCTATTTTGTTGTTGTTGTTATGTGCCATCGAGTTGGACCCGACTCATAGCGACCCCTCCTTGGGTTTCTGAGGCAGTATCACTACAGAAGTAGATTGCCCAACCTTCCTTCCGAGGAGTGGCTGGTGGGTTTGAACCGCCAGCCTTCTGGTTAGCAGTCAAATGCTTAGGCACTGTGCTACCAGAGCTCCTATTTTGCACATTTTAACAAATGTCTAAAAAACATTCATTTTTTAGGAAAACATTCTCCTATTTTAGAAAGACTAAAAGACATTCGTTAAAGTGCTGAAGAGCAAAGATGTCTCCTTGAAGACTAAGGTATGCCCAACCCAAGCCATGGTATTTTGAGTAGCCTCATATGAATGTGAAAGCTAGGCAGTGAATAAGGAAGACCAAAGAAGAGTTGATGCTTTTAAATTGTGGTGTTGGCAAAGAATATGGAAAGTACCCTGGACTGCCAGAAGAACGAACAAATCTGTCCTGGAAGAAGTGCGGCCAAAATGCTCCTTGGAAACAAGAATGGCCAGACTTCGTCTCACCTACTTTGGTCATGCTGTCAGAAGGGACCATTTCCTGGAGAAGGATGTCATGCTTGGTAAAGTAGAAGGTCAGTGAAAAAGGGGAAGGACTGACACGAGATGGACCGACAGTGGCTGCAACAGTAGGCCCCAGGTACGTCAAGGATTGTGAGGCTGGCACAGTTTGGCAGTGTTTTGCTCTGTTGTACAGAGTGCCGCTGTGGGTTGGAGCCAACTCCACAGCACCTGATAACAACTACAGTAAGACATTTAGAGCATCTCTTAAGCAGAATGAGCCGTGTTTATCTGTGCTCTCTCCCTGCAGCCCAGTCCCATGCATGGATGCTGGGAGTGGGCTGGATCATGGGGAGTAGGGGAGGTCGAAGGACCACACCCATAGCTTGTTTCTAGTCCTCCACCAGGCTTCTTTGAACAGCATCCAATCATGTATCAGTCACCATTCATTCATGAGGAAAGAAAGGCAAGGTAAACAGATTTCAGTAGTGAATTTGGAAGGACAGAGGGATACTTTTCTTAACTTCAGTATATGTTCTGTGGTTGAGAATGGAGTTCCTCTGTCTGCTGAGGGGTAAGGGGGGAAAATATCCACTGTCCATTATTCTTTGTCTATTCTCTTGATGCCACATGTCAGCAAAAGAGCTTGGCTGAGCAATGAACACCTGCTGTAAGCAATTAGGTGTCTTAGTGTGGCATGGCCAGCTCTGGGAGGCTCCCTGCCATGCTGTCACACTGTGTAGAGGGGCAGCTTTGTGAGGCATTCAGCTGGGATGTTCCTCGGGGACAGAAGGAGCCGCTGCCAGAGCCACATCCTAATTGTCAGTGGGACCAAACAATGTTGAGTTAACTCATTATGACAAGATATACATGTGGAAATACTTGAGAATTTTTAAACAGAGTTACCATTACAGAGCAGATTAAAAAAATAGTCATAGTATAATACTGTAATCTATTCTCACTTCATAACATAAGACCTACCTTAAAATTACTCCTCTAATATTTTTTTTATTGAGGAAACATAATTCTTTTTATTACAAAGAAGTACATGTTCATATTAGAAAAGTTAAGAAATACAGATAAGCAAATACTGAAGGGGCTGGTGGCAGAATGTCTACTGACCTTTCAGCCGGGGTGGACTTCTGCTCACCTCCTGGCCATTCCCCTAGACTTTTTTTCTGTCCACATTTACTTGGCTAAAGAGAGAAAAATTAGGATCGTATTTTATATTGTTTTGTAATCACTTTTTTCATTCAATATCAGAACCATCTTCATATGTCAGAAAATGGTATTCTGTAAATAAATTTTTTTTAATGATTCATATTATTTCATTGTATGGCTATTTCCCAGAGGAATTTAAAAACCTAAACAGAAATCAACTTTTTTAAATAAAAGCCAGCAAAAAAAAAAAAGTCATATATTTAAAAATTTTAATTTAGTTTGTTTTTAGTTTCATAGTTTGAAAGAGGAAAATAATCTAGAAAAGAAGATGAGAATTCTTCATAACCCTCTGGTTGAGAGGTGGTTCATTACCTTTGTGTTTTTCCTTTTGTTTTTTCCATATAGACATACATTTATTTATTTATATTTATATAAAATGTGGCTGCTGTTGGGTGGTGTCAAGTTGATTCAAAATCATAAAGACCCCATGGGACAGAGTAGAACTGCCCCATGGAGTTTTATTTATATTTTTAATTGTAGTTTGGGTGAAAGTTGCCCCATGGGGTTTTCTGGGCAGTAATCTTTATGGGAGCAGTTGGCCAGATCTTTTCTCCTCGGAGCTGCTGAGTGCTCTTAACCATCGCACCACCAGAGTTCCTGTATCTTGTGTGCTCACTTTACATATTGTGACCATTTCCCTGTCATATATGTCTGTGTGTGTATAGAAGTCTCTTCTGCTTACGTTTAAAGATTGTGGAGAAGGCCCTATATTGGGCCTCTTTGAGATTTTCTGAGTCTGATCCAAGAGTGAACACAGTGGGAAATGAGAACAAATGATTTCACCCACAGAAGAGAGGGCTTTGGGCCTACCTCCCCTGTTCCTCCACCCCTCCGTGGAGCAGGGAGGAAGAATGGGAGCCCCTAATGGCCTTGCACCTAACACAACCATGGACCACAGTGAGATAGGCATAGATTGTGGCCTGAGAGGTAGAATTGTACCGGATTAAATCAGGAACAGAGGGAGTCATTGACACTCTAGGGAAGAGTTGGACCTGAGGCAATTAGAATTTTTCCACCTTTAACTTTACTGACTCTTGTCATTAAAAAAGCCCCTGATCTTTTTGGTGACATCGAGAGAATTCTTTTATCAAGGGGCACTTCCAAGGCCCCTTGCAATTGATAATATTCTGAGTTGTGGGGCTCTTGAGGGGCGCTTTCTACTTTGGGTCAGTCAGCCACTAGTTAGTAATAAGCGCTAAGCCTGGTAGCTGTTCTGAGGGGCGTTGGTGGGGTTGCCAGGGAGATGGGCCCCAAGAGAGCCTGAAGCCTTTTCTCAGAGATCTCTTGAGAAGAAGAACATGCTGTACTAAAAGGAGGGCATATTTAATGCCCACAAACCGAAAATACAGGAGGAGCAATGGTGCTGGAGAGTAGCCTTGGCATATACTTTCCCCTAAGGTCCCTGAATGTTGCCTGAAGTGAGTGATCTCCTTCGCTGTTGTCAGTTTACATTCCTGCCCTCTTCCATCGCACATGTCTTCAGTCTGCTATAAAATGATGAAAATTGAGTCATATTCTACTTGTGATTCCACTGGGTGAGGCATGTTTAGTGTGCCGTATTCCCAAGTTCTTGGTGAAGATGGTCTGGAGCAGAGCACAGAGCAGGCACTGTTGTAATGGCGTGAGCAGAGCACAGATGGGTAGAAGAGCATACATCACCGTCAGCCAAGGTTCCCCAAAGTTAGGCTCCCATCCCAGGGGGCTGTTGGATTGCACCCAAGCATCCCACACTGGTGTCGTGGGAGGAAAATGCCTGAGTCCCCCTCTCTAGGGGTTAAATACTGATAGGACAGCCATGTCTGTGTGCCAAGCAGCATGTTTAGAGAACGAGAAGGGGACAAGAGTAATAAAATGGAGTAACAAAAGGTAGAAGGAGATAGTGAAAGGGGAAGGCCTCCTTCAGGCCCCTGTTGCGGCTGGGTGACCGTCTCCTGACTGGGTGACCATCTCCTGGCAGTTGTTCTAGATTTTACTGCACCAGGAGCTGTTCTGCCTCCTTTACCCACCAAGATAACAGAGCTCTGGGTGTCTTTAGAGGGCAGTCATCTCCCCCTGAGGCACATACTTCACTCTGTGTCCTTTAGTAGCTGTTATGTCTGTTGGCATCTAGGGAGATAGTGAGGGGGCAGTTACAGTATGGCACAGCTGGGCACCCCGTGGCTCAGTAGTGCAAGCTTCAACTCCATGGGTGCTGTTACGGGACCTCCTTGTTCTGAGAGGTACCTTCTCTAGCCAGTGTTCACTGTGTGTGTGCACCTCTCTGCCTCGCCCCTCCACCCCGCAGGGTTCTGGCTGGTGTGCACCATCATCATCATCCTGAGCTGCTGCTGCGTCTGCCACCACCGCCGAGCCAAGCACCGCCTTCAGGCCCAGCAGCGGCAACATGAAATCAACCTGATCGCCTACCGGGAAGCCCACAATTACTCAGCGCTGCCATTTTATTTCAGTATGTACACCTAAAGCCACTCTACCCTGCATGCACAGATCCAGGGCCCAGCACAGAGCAGGGTCGGCTAGTAAGAGAACAAGGGGATACTCACCTTTAGCACAGAGGAGCAGGCCTATAGGTGCAGTTCCCTGTAGTCACCGGGCCATTCTAAGTCTCACAGTGCCTGGGTCTGGCCAGGTCTCTGCTCCTTTAGCAGATTTATGACGTATAATGTGAGCAAACTGAGCTTTGGTGCTCAGTGACCTGGGTGCCTCCCATTTGCTTATTGCCATGTAACTTACCTGAGCAGAGCTTGCCGTGAGGGGCAGGTTGCAGCGGGGGTGCATCAGGATTTCCTGAGAACTGAGAAGTCTGATGGCTGGCTCACTGAAGGGCTTTCACCTGACTTCTCTGGGGTTCTTTACACACATCCTCTCAAGCAGAGGCCCAGCTGTGTAGCTTGTCCAAAGCTATTTTGCAGTGTGTTTTATAAAATAAAATGGTCACAGTTACTTGAATTTCACATCTAGAAGAGATGAAGTGCTTAGCACAGTGCCTGGCATATAGTAAGTGCTCGATAAATGCTAGCAATAAATAGATCATCCATGCCTTAAGGCATTCACTACATTAAAAAGAGAACTCACTGGCATGTACTTAAGCCTTGGATGGCAGAAGCTCCCTCCTAACCTCCCACTGGGACCCACCCCCTCTTAATCTGAGTCAGGGGGAGGTGCAGCCACACTAGAGTGAGAGAGACAACACAGGTTTCTTAGCTCACAGCAGCAGGCCCTCTTCATGGTACATCTGGAAGGACTAGCAGGAGGGAACAAGAGGCCAGGAAGTCTTAAGTAAGGATTCCTGGCCCTCAGGCCTGTAGGCTCAGATGGAGGACAGTCTGAACAAGAATCATGAGGCTTTTGTACATGTGGAAACAGGTCCGTTCCAGGCAGAAATCATTTCTTGGCCACCCCCATCCACCCCATTTGCCTAACCTTCCGCCCTCACTCCCAGGCAGGCAGGAAGCCCTGGTCTAGGAGGCAGCTTTGGGAGCTCTACGATTTCAAGAAGCTAGACCAGGTCACTCCCAGTGTGTCCCTCTTTCTCTGCAAAATTGCTGGTAGCCCACTCCCATGCCCACAGTCAAGAGCTGTAGCTGTCACTTGGCGGGTCTGTCGGGGGTGGGAAGAGACAGTGTCCGTGTTCAGTGTGAGCTTTGCGCTCTGTCCTAGAGCGGTTGCCAGCACAGTAACCTCTCCTCCCTACCTCCCCGTTTTAGGGTTTTTGCCAAACTATTTACTACCTCCTTATGAGGAAGTGGTGAACCGACCTCCAACTCCTCCCCCACCATACAGTGCCTTCCAGCTACAGCAGCAACAGCTGCCTCCACAGTGTGGCCCTGCAGGCGGCAGCCCCCCGGGCGCCGATCCCACCAGGGGCCCCCAGGGGGCGCACAGCAGCCCCTTGTCCGGGCCCAGCAGAAGCAGCACGAGACCCCCCAGCATCGCCGACCCTGAGCCCTCCGACGTGCCAGCCGACCGAGCAGCCACCAAAGTACCTGGAATGGAGCCCAGTGGCTCCGTGGCCGGCCTGGGGGAGCAGGACCCAGGGTCCTTCCTGGACAAGGATTCAGAATGTAAGGAGGAGCTGCTGAGAGAGTACGGCTCCGAACAGAGCAGCGCAGTCCCCGACAGCAAAGACAAAATGCCCGGCAGGCACCGCCGCTTCACGGGCGACTCGGGCATTGAGGTTTGTGTGTGCAACCGGGGCCATGATGACGACCTCAAAGAGTTCAGCACACTCATTGGCGACGCCCTGGATGGGCCCCTGGACTTCTGTGACAGCTGCCACGTGCGGCCCGCTGGCGACGAGGAGGAAGGGTTCTACCGAGCCTCTGAGGAGCAGGCCCGAGAGCCCGGGCAACCCCATCTGCCACGGCCGCCCCCCTGCCTGCTGCTGAACACCATCAATGAGCAGGACTCCCCAAACTCCCAGAGCAGCAGCACCCCCAGCTAGAGCAGGCCCTTCTTGCACCCGAGAACTTGGCAAAGCAACCAGGGTAGGGGAGAACCATGAGAGAAGCATTAACGACTTTCGGAGAAAGTGGTACAGCCACTTTGTTCTTTTTTTTTTTTTTTTTTTTTGTGCCCCTCCTGCATTTTCCTGCATCTCCAGGTACAGTGTGGATGCCTCTCTCCCACAAAAGCACAGTATTGTGGGGAGCTGAGAAGTTGGTTTTGTGACTCATTCCTCACACCCCACCTCTGCCCCTTCTTTTTCCCCTTTCAAATCCTGTCTCACCAACCCGCCTGGGTTGGAGAAATGTGTTTTTTAAAAGCCCCCAAAGAAGGGGCTGGAATTGTGCCCTGAGATGATTCTTGGTGGTAGAGTGGATTTAGTCTCTCGTTTGAATGTAAGGGAGCCTTGTTGTGTCTCAGTCCAGGAGAGGGGACAGGTCTCAGCCACCCACCCCTGGCAGCCAGTATCTGTAGGGCTGGAAGCGGATTAACCCTCTGGGAGATTGAGAGCTGATGGGCACTTGTGTGGTAGGTTTGTAGGAGGCTCATTGATACCCCAAATGCCAGGTGACCAGGTCAATAACCTCCAGGCATTGGTCAAAGGGCCGTCCCCAGCAGGCTCTAGCTGGCTGCGGACTGGTTCAGGCCTGGAGGGCTATGCTCCCTCTTTTTTTTTTTTTTTTTTAAAGCAAACAACAAAAGCGAGCTAAAAACAAGAACCTTCCCAATGGACAGGCAAGAATTCTGTTCTGGAAAAGGGAAGTTTGGACTCTTTCCCAAGTTGCCTTCAAAGAGCCTGGCTGCAGTTGAGCCAGAAGGAGTAGTTTCGTATGAAGGCTTGAATGGGGGTGATCTTTGGAACTACTGTGGGTGAGCAGGAGGCCCCAAGCCATGGCAGTGGATGGAAGTGTGGCTTCTGCACCTCGGCCCTTTTGTCAGTGCTCACAGGTGACCAGCACCCTCCCCCATCCCAAGCTCATGGCCGCTGGCCTTTATGTCTCACTGTTCTTTGTGAACAAATGGACTGAGGAGGCTGTGGACAGCCCCATAGTCTTGACTCTCACACAGTATTTTCTCTTTAATTTTGAATATTTGGGGTGTTTTTTTTTTTTAATTTTGTTTTCTTTTTTAAAACTGACCACTTGGAAGAAATACCTTGGTTATCTGTGGTTTTTAGCACCTCCCCTCTTTTTCTTTTGAATGGGGTAACTGATTTTTCTGTTGCCTATGTAAAGAGTCTGAGTGGCCCAGGCAGGACGGTGAAGGCAGTCATCCTGAGGGCCGTGGGATCCTTGTGACTGTAGTTTGGCCTCAGATAACCAGGTGAGCTTTGCTGGGAATACTCTGAATGGAGAGTGCGAATAGCCAAAATGAACATTCCCTGGCCAGTGCTGTTGATGCGAAGAGTTTGGTTCTTCCCCACTCTTGAGCAATGGTATTCCGACAAGGCATTGATGTTATGGTAAGAAAGGAAAAAATACACATACACACACACACACACACGTATATATAAATAGACAAATCCAAAGCTATGAGGTGAACAGATGTCTGCGTTTGGATACCACAAAACCAAAATCTATGTTGAACAAAGTGAAGTGCGAATGCAGTGACTTTTGGATATCCTGTGTGTGTGTCTGTTGTGTGTGAGCCCAAGCCCCATTCTCCTGTGAATATACTTTGAGGCAGCCATTCTGCTCGTGGTAGCCACAACACTTGGCGCACACGTGGCCCTTTCAAGGTAATTTATTTTACGCATTTACTGTTTACTGAGCAAATGTCTGACTGTTCTCGGGTGTATCCAGCAGCCTCGTCATGGCAGTCCCTGTGTTTGCCAGAGATAACTGTGCTCGAAGTAGAGGGTTCACTCTACCCATCACTGCAATTTGCACATTGCTCCGTGGACACGCGGAGGCCTGTGTTCTAGCCCCTGTCAGTAGAAACGTGCTCTGAACATGTCTGCCTCCCTCGGCTGCTCCTGGCCCTCAGTACCAGCCCCCTGGATGGTGTCCACGACTGCTTGGGACAGAAGGCGAAGGTGGAATTTCAGATCGAAGCTTGGTTGGCTCTTAAGTGACAAGCTCGGACCAGCAGCTGCCCAGAGATGTCGGCCCTGCCCAGAATTACCGGGAGGGTCGGGCAAGTGCCGCAGCGCCACAGGGCTCACCTCCCTCTGCCGAGGTCCAACGCGCAGGCTGCTGTGTGGCCAGAGTGCATCAGCAGCCCTCAGATGCCTTGCCTTCGTCCACCTTTTTTTAAAAAAAAAAAAAAAAAACCCAGTTCTAAACACTCACTGAAGTGTCTCAGAGGAGCACAAGTTTTACCAAAATGAACCCTTCTTCAGTTAACTGATCAAATGGATGTATCCTGGCCCTCTCCAAGTTTCCTCCCCCAGTTTGAGTGAGGGACTGGTCTGAGTGCTAAATGTTTGGTTCACTGTTTAGCACCCTACCCTAAAGGCATGAGAAGAAGAACATGCAACCAGTGGAAATGGACTCGGTCCCAACGGTCACAGTCTGGCCCCTGCCACAGAAGCTACCCTGCCTGAAGAGAGAGATGAACTAGGAATTTGACAGAATAGTTAGGGGGCCAGGGAGATTTGCCTGCGGCTGGTTTTCCAGGTGGATGAGAAGAAAGGGGTTGGTCGAGGGTTTGGTGCTACAGTCGGAAGATTTGCAAATGCTAACATTCCTGTGTGAGGCAAGTCACCATTTGTCAGTTATTGTGAATATGTGTATTTTAAGCAATAAGATTCAGCTGGTCAGACTTTTCTGGGCAGTCTCAGTGACGCATTTCCTGTGCTGTGATTGTTCTGAAGACAGAGTGGCTCTAACCACTGTGAGAAGCCCAAATAAAAAATCAATCCGAAAACTCCTGCCACTCGTTTCTTGCAGCACTTTGTTCCTTTTCTCCTCTTCTTTGGTCCTCAGCGAATTGCACCCCCAGGGTCCAAACCGCAAGTGGTTTTCCTTTCTCCACACAGAGACTGAGAGGAGTCACAGAGCAGTTGAGGACGAGATCCCTGGCCAAAGAGAAACCACAGGGGGAGGGCAAGCTGGGTAGGACTGCTGCTGACTCTACACTTTGTCCTGGGAGATTTTCTCCCCAAACCCTCTCTGTCGGGTATATTTCTGATATTTGGGACGAAATACTTTGTAAGATCCCACAATGGGTTAAAACCAGATAGCCCCACCAGTCCCCCAAAAAAGGGCAAAAACAAGTGTTGTCAGATACCTTGTAGCCAAAACGTGACCCTTTAAAAGGAAGTAAGCACTCCTGAGAGATGTTCTGTCAGTGGGTGGGTGCTTAGCCTTCAGATTGAACAAACAAACCAGGAGCTATGGGGCCCCCACTCTGTGCCCAGCACTGTGCTGGATACTAAGAATAATGCAAAAGAAATAAAGGAAAGAGCCCTGCCCTTCAAAAAGTGGAGTTAGGAAGACAAGACCTACCTGAGGGAAGTAGTAATTAACAACAGAAGGTAGGTTGAGATGGACTGAATGAGTGGCACAGATTGGGAGAATCTTGAGCAGTGGGAGGGAGTTTTGAGGTCTAGAATACCAGGCAGGAATCTCTGAGCGGAATTTTAGGCAGTGGGGGAGCCACTAGTATGCCAGCATTAGCCATCATGGGCCATTCCCACCTTTTGAAGGAACGAATGTTCCTTTGGTCATTTCCCGTTTTCCTAAGACTGGCCTCTTAGGACTAACAGTGCCTCTCAAGTCAGGCCTGAGTTCCTGCTCCATAACCATAGGGCAGAATAGCCTGCTGCCTCTGCCCAGCAGGACTTCTCCCTGGGACACCTGCAGGTGGGCATCTTGTTAACTCCTCTCATCCCAGAAGGGGATCTGCCTTTCTAGAAGGAACACTGCTAAGTTGGGCTGGGGCATGCTGGCAGTGACGGGTTTACCCTAGTCCCTAGGCTTGTTTCTGAGAGTCCAGTGTAAGCCAGGTTTACCCTTGCCCTATCTCTGACCCTGGATGAGAGGATGCTGGCTTTTCCCTTTAAGTGACTCTAGTGCAATGGTTCCTGCCTAGAACCTTCTAAACTTGTAGGCTCTCTCAGGCTACCCCAGTGGAGCCATATTAGCCTTTAGAGACAGGAACCACAGAAAAGAACTGAAGGAGTACATCATTCCTGCTGTTGCTTTAATACCAATGTCTGAATGATACAAAAAGGGTACTGTTCCTATGAGTTGATCATCAGAAGATGCATGTACCTTGATACCTATGTCTATAGGCCTCCCTTCATTGTGTCCCTGACTTCTGGGTCACTGAATTCATTTCTCTAATGAGGGATGACATTGGCTGTCTCTTTTGCCCCAGGTGGCCACATTCCCATGGACACAATACCAATGTCTGAAACACAAAATTTTCAAGAAACGCTCTATTCTCCAGTTTCCTCTGCTTTCACCCAGTGGAGTGGCGCTGGGAAGGGAACCAGAGTTTGACCCAGGATGAGGAGTGGGAAGTGGGTCTGCCTGAGTGTTGGCTGGCTTAGTGCTAAACCTGATGGGAAGGGCTATGGGTCGTGGGAGGTGTTTGGGATGTGGGCTTTCAGCCTGGGGGCAAGTAACTGGCCTGCCTTAACTGAGCATTTATCGAGCACCTGCCATGTGCCAGGCATTGGGAACGCAAATATCACTCACACCTGGCTCCTGTTTAGAAGAGCAAGTGGTTAAAGTTAAGAGAAGAAGAAAGGCACATTAACAGTTTGAGTACCACGGGATGATCCTAAGTGCTGAGAAGGGTCTGCACATGAGGCTGTGTATGAGAATTCAGCCCAAAGGAGATTCAAGGCAGGCTTCCTGGAGGGGGTAGCTCTGAACTGAGCTTGCCAGGTGAAGAAAGGTACAGGGGGAATTCTAGGCAAATGTTAATTCAGTAGATTATTGATTGCCTACTATGATGTTCCAGATGCTGAAATGCACAAAAGCACATAGGGGTGCTTAATGGGAGTGGGGGTTGTGTCTAAGACTGCAAGCAAATGAGTCTCTAGGTGATTGCATCCCGGGAAGTGGCTGGAGATGAAGCTGGAGAGGTAAGCTGGTAATAAAAATATTTTCACTGAATTTGTCTTCATTGTTCTATTTATTTATTGACTGCTTGTACCATGCCAGGCCTTGTGTATGCATCTTATCTACATTCTCTTATTTTAGCCTCAAAACACCCCTCT